TATCTATCTATCTATCTATCTATCTATTTATTTACTTATCTACCTATATATATATATATATATATACTCTTGCAGTTTGGGCATAGTTTTGCTCTCAGAATCCGGTTCTGTCTGAAACCCTCTCGGAGAAGCGAATTAAAAGGGTGTAGCAGACTGTTTTAGATTCTTTTTGTACCGCCTATCACCAACTTTTTCCTCGTTTTCCTTGTTCTTCTTTCCTATCCCAGCGTCGTTGGTCAAACTATACTAATATATAAATATGTCTTCCCATATAAACATATGAATGCATGTATGTCTGTCCGCCTGTCGGTCTCTGTATACCTCTCTATTTATCTATCATTATCTTTATATTCCTTTCTACTCAACTGCCTACTCATCATGGTGCCGCTTCCCAGACTGCTGAACCATTTCGACGGATGGGTTTTCGGTTTTCCCAAAGAGTCTGGCCATACGCCACATCGAGGCTGGGCATATCGTCGAGTCGAGTTACGAGCAAGAGCGAAGCCCCATCCTCAGCAGCATTGGCGCCGGCCTCGTTGGCCTATCCTCAAGCTTCCACTCTTCTGGTTCGTCGGCTCAGTGCTTCTGGAGACCAGGTCCATTTTGTCTGTTGGCTCCTTTCCATCTCGTTTCTGGGTGTGGAGTTTGTTGGTAGTTTCAGAGCAGATAGGATTGGACACACGTTCTGCATAACTAATCACACCAGACTTGCACAGAGGCGGCATGGTGATGCGGTGCCAGGGCAAATCGGGCTGATTTATTTACCCAACTTTAGACAGAAGATTCTGCTTCGATGAGCTTCGAGGTTATTCACTGCCCACAGTGGCCCCATATTTTGGCAGCTGGTTATTAATAAAGTGATGACTATGCAGCTGTGTCCATTGTATGGCGCTACTGGCCAACCATGAGTTTGTCTACACTTATGCATACATTTATGCATAAAGGTGTACTTGTATGCATCCGCATGCGCATGTCTACATCAAGGTGGAAATGAGGAACGGAGGAATGTTAGTGAAATGGGACAAGTGCAGGCGGGCGGGCCAAAGATGTGGGCACCTCAACACTGTCGGAGAGATCTAGTCTTGCAGTTTGGGCATAGTTTTGCTTTCAGAATCCGGTTCTGTCTGAAACCCTTTCGGAGAAGCGAATTTGAAGGGTGCAGCCGACTGGTCCAGATTCCCATTGTACCGCCTATCGCCAACTTTTTCCTCGTTTTCCTTCTTCCTCTGTCCTAGCCCAGCCTCGTCGGTCAAACGCATTCTGCAGAGGGCTGGTGAGCTGACTGGACGGCCGGATGGGAAGACCAGAGGTGGAATCTTGCCCGACTCACACTTCTCAACACGCATACCCTGGGGTCCTAAA